ACCCTGAGCCGGTGAGATTTGAACCGCTGACCTGCTGATCTAGCAGTAGCCTGCAGTGCTGCATTTAACCACTGCGCCACCTTGGCTCTATGAAGGGATGAAGAAACAGGACCTTCTCTACGGGGCCAAGGAATATAAGGGCGAGGGAGCAGGGCAGCCTGCTTATTGTAAAGGTGCCTGTGTATATACGCCGGACGCTCGATACTGGATGGCATTTCAAAGGTGGAAATCAACCAGGCTCACCTGTCTTTTATACTCTGCCACCGGATCATAAACCTTCCAACCGTTAGTAGGAAATTTCTCTTTGTAACTGAAGGCGAAGAAGGGCTGAAGGAGGGAAGAAAAGCCAAAAATCAGGGCCACTGAGCTTCATCTCTTCATCTCCACAGAGATCTAGTTGTCAGAAGGAAGAAGGGAGCTACGGGACAGCAAACTTAACTACACACACTCGTTTTTAATATTATAGGTAGTCCTCGACTTACAACAGTTCATTTAGTGGCCGTTCAAAGCAGTGGTGGCTTCCGGCAGCCGCTACTGCCGGTTGGCTCAGGGATGCCCTGTGCACGTGAGCATGCGCAGCAAAACAAAAATTGCACTGCGCATGCGCAGAAGCCAAAAACAAGATGGAGGCGCCTACGGAGGTGCCGAGAGAACCGATTCAGGGCCGTGGGGGGCCTGGGTGTCTGCCGGTTCCAGCGACTCAGGCCGCCAAGCTACTCCCCATCCGGCTGAACTGGTCTGAACTGGTCAGAACCCATCGCTGGTTCAAAGCCACCACGGGGCTGAAAAAGGGGACTTATGACCATTTTTTCACACTTATGACCTTTGTCATAAGCTCCATTAAACCCCGTGATTAAAATTGAGACGCTTGGCAACTGGCTCATACTTATGACCGTTGCCGTGTCCCAGAGACACAGGATCCCCTTTTGCAAACTTCTGACAAGCAAAGTCAATGGGGAAGCTGTTAACAGCTGGGTCAATGCCGTGATTCACTTCACAACTGTGGCAAGAAAGGTCGTAAAATGTGGGCAAGCTCACTTAACAACAGTCTTGCTTAGCGACAGAAATTGGGGTTCAATTTATTTATTTATTTATTTATTTATTTATTAGA